AAGGAGCCCGATGTAGGGCACGATCCCAGGATCCTGGAGTCATGACCTGAGCCAAAGGCAGACGCCCAACTGACTGAGCCACCTAGACGCCCCAAGTTACTGGAGTTCTTTATATATTATATCAACCCTTTATCAGATATGTGATTTGCAAATATTTTCTCCCATCCAATAGGTTGCCTTTTTGTTTTGTTGATGGTTTCCTTTCCTGTGCAGAAGCTTTTTAGTTTGATACAGTAAATAACATTTGTTTTCGCTTTTGTTGCCTTTGCTTTTGGTGTCAAATCCAAAAACTCCTTGCCAAGACTGATGTCAAGGAGCTCACCACCTATTTTCTTTTAAGATTTTTATGGTTTCAGGTCTTTCAAGTCTTTCATCTATTTGAGTTAATTATTGTGTCTGGTGTAAGATTGTGGTTCAGTTTCATGGTTTTGAATGTGGCTGTCCAGTTTTCCCCATTTATTGAAGAGACTGTCCTTTCCCCATTGAATGTTCTTGGCTCTTTTGTCTTCTGTTAATTGACCATACACATGTGGATTTATTTCTGGACTGTTTGTTCTGTTCCATTTCTCTGTGTGCCTGTTTTAATGCCAATACCATGCTGTTTTGATTACTATTGCTTTGTAATATAGCTTGAAATCAGGGAACATGAAGCTTCCAGCTCTGTTCTTTTCAAGATTGCTCTGGCTATTTCACAGTCTTTTGTGATTCCATACAAATTTTAGGATTGTTTGTTGTATGTCTTGGTAAATGCCTTTGGAATTTTGTTGGTAATTGCATTGAATCTATAGATTGCTTTGGGTGGTACAGCATTTTATTTTTTTTTATTTTTTATTTTTATTTATTTATTTCTTTAAAGATTTTATTTATTTATTTATTTGAGAGAGAGAGAATGAGAGAGAGTACATGAGAGGGGGGAGGGTCAGAGGGAGAAGCAGACTCCCTGCCAAGCAGGGAGCCTGATGCGGGACTCGATCCAGGGACTCCAGGATCATGACCTGAGCAGCCGAAGGCTATCGCTTAACCAACTGAGCCACCCAGGCGCCCTTATTTTATTTTTTTAAAGATTTTATTTATTTATTTGACACAGAGAGACACAGCGAGAGAGGGAACACAAGCAGAGGAGGTGGGAGAGAGAGAAGCAGGCTTCCCGCCAAGCAGGGATCCCGATGCGGGACTTGATCCCGGGACTCCAGGATCATGACCTGAGCCGAAGGCAGTCGCTTAACCAACTGAGCCACCCAGGCGCCCTTATTTTATTTTTTTAAAGATTTTATTTATTTATTTGAGAGAGAGGATGAGAGGAGAGAGAGAGCACATGAGAGGGGGGAGGGTCAGAGGGAGAAGCAGACTCCCTGCCAAGCAGGGAGCCTGATGCGGGACTCGATCCAGGGACTCCAGGATCATGACCTGAGCGGAAGGCAGTTGCTTAACCAACTGAGCCACCCAGGTGCCCCCGTGTACAGGTCTTTTACTTCCTTGGTTAAATTTATTTCCACCTATTTAATTCTTTTTAATGTAATTGTTTTCTTAATTTTGGTTTCTGCTAGTTAATTATTAGTGTATAGAAACACAACAGATTTTTGTATGATGGTTTTGTATCCTGCAACTTTACCGAAATCATTTATTCTAATGGTTTTTTAGTGGAGTCTTTAGTTTCCTATATTTAATATGCCATCTGCAAATAGTGACAGTTTTCCACTGTGGATGGTGGAGAATTAGCCTTCTTTCTTCCTTATATTTTCTATCATACATCCACATGTGTACTTCCCATCCTCTACAACTTCCTAATAGTTGGGTTACATAAGTATCAAGTGTTTATATTACTGTGACCACATAGGTCATTCTGAGCTCATTTTTCTTCTGCAATTATGTTATCCTCCTTTTCTTTTGGGTCATTTTCCATTAGTACAACAAATCTTAATATCTCTCTTTAACTCCTCCTAGACCTCCATGGCATCCCATTTCTGTGCCTCTTCATCACAGCAAAACTCCGTTAACGTGTTGTCTTTCCTGTCTTGCTCCTCTTCCCTTCTCCCATCCCCTCCGCGACTGCTGGCCATTCCAACTGGGCTTTTGTTTCTACCACTCGGTCAAGAAGACTCTTGTCACCGTTGATCCCTTGCCAAGACAAAGATTAAATCTAAGTTTGCATTTTACTCAGCCTTTCCCCAGCTTTTGATATATTCGACCACTCCCTCCTTGAAACACTTTCTGCACTTGGTTTCTGGGATTCTGTACTGACCTAATTTTCCTTCTGTGTTGTTGGTCATTCCCTGTGTGTTTCATGTGCTAATTCTACCCCTTCTAGTTTTTCCTCAGAAATGCTTGAGGGCCCCACGGTTCCCCTCTGCCCCCTTTTGTTTGCTTTCCTTAGGCAACCTAATCCCTTTCCGTGGCTTCCAGCATCAGCTGTAGACTGACTCCAAAATGTCTAACTTTGGCCCAGAGCTTCCTAGAACTCCAGACTTTGTGAAATATTCAGTTGCCTATTCAACATCTTCACTTGGGTGTTTTAATAAGCATTTGGCCCCAACCAAACTGTACATTTCTTCTCCCCACCAGATCCTCCAGCCCAATTCCCAGTCATAGTACGTGCCACCATTATCTAGTTGTTCAGGCCAACTACCTATCAATCTTCCTGGTTCCTTTCTTCCACATCCAGCCCATCACTACCTATCAGAAACCTTTCTGTAAGTCCTCATGTCCCACAGCTCCACTTCTATAACCCTAATGTGAGTCCTGCCTAGATTACCAACTGCTACGTCCTTTTTTTTTTTTTTAAAGATTTTATTTATTTATTTATTAGAGAGCGAGCAAGAGAGAAACAGCATGAGAGAGGAGAGGGTCAGAGGGAGAAGCAGGCTCCCCGCTAAGCCGGGAGCCCGATGTGGGACTCGATCCCAGGACCCTGGGATCATGACCCGAGCCGAAGGCAGACGCTTAACCAACTGAGCCACCCAGGCGCCCCCAACTGCTACGTCCTAACTGGCCTCCTTCCCTAATCCACCCAGCATCCCACAGAGCCGTCAGACATAGACTAACTCAGATCATTTCTTCTGCTGCTTAAAACCTTCCAATGGCTTTCTGTTATGCCTTGAATTAAACCCAGACCCCTTCTTTGAAGCCTCTGTCACCCTTCCTGATATGAGCCTTGCCTGCCATTAGCCTCATGTCCCCATCTCCTTCCGTTTCCTGGTCATGGTGGCTTTTTTTCCTGCTGTATCCTGTTTCCATCTTAAGCTTTTGTTATTGCAGAATGCCTTTCTCCTCCTACATCTTTGCTCCACCACCACTTTCTCATTGTTTTGGTTTCAGCTCAGCTATTGCTTGAGATAGGATGCTCTTCTGACTCAAGTCAAAGCAGCACTTTTACTTCATCATGTTTCTTTTTCATCTTCTCACTAGCACTTCTTGTACCTGAAACTATATTAATATGTTTTCAGAATTTCAGTCCAGAATGTAATCCGTCCCCCCGCCCCGCCATGTCCTGAGCCCTTGGAACACTATCTGGTATGTGGCAGGAATGTTGTTGACTGACAAGGTTCATAAGACAAAAGAAGAAAGCAATACATTTTGAATGTTTCATTTCCCTTGTATATTCCTGGTCTCCATCAGGAAATAGAGAAAAATGATTCAAACTAGGGACCTTTCATTTGTTTTAGGCAGCATTTCAGAGTGCTTTAAATTTCTAGGACATTAAACCTACCCCTACCGTGTTCACATAGGAGTACAAAAAAAAAGCCCATTGGAGGTAAATTGTATGAGTTTGGGATAATCCGTTTCTTTTCTCCATATCTCCTGGAGAAGAGTTGGCCACCAGCTTTTTATGAGTGTTACGTGTTATGTCATAAAGGTTTTACATCATCAACCATATTTGGATTTAAAATACTCTATTATGTAACAGTCTGCTTTGTGAATGTATTTAACTGGGAATAGAATCAAGTGTGAGTAGATCCAGCATCAAACATGGCTTCAAGCTTTTAACTGATTTTCCTCCATATGATATCATAAAGGGAGGTAATTTTTTACTTTTGTCTGTTGGTGTAATTTTTAAATTGTTACAAGCTCCAAATTAGTGGAAATATGTTAGTCTAAATAGTAAAGGGGGAAAAAAAACCTGGATAGAGAACTTAATGATATATGGGTAACAGAACTCTTCAATTATATGTTACTTGCATGTATCTGGCACTTCGGTCCCTGCCAGTGTCAATTTCATTTGATGACTCCTTGGCTAAAACCCTGTTAGAGTTTCCAGAGCGCTCTTGTACTTAAACCATCTAACTGTTCAGCTTTGTGGTTTTCGCGAATGGTCAGCGTTTAGTGCTAAGGAAGTAAGGTCCCATGAAATCAGGAAAATTTAGCTGGGGAGAGGGTAAGTGTGAAGGTGGGTATCTGAGCTGCTACAGAACATCTGTGTCTTGTCCTGGCCTCTTGGGGAGAGGGTGTGTATGGATGGAAATAGGCAGTCAGACTAGCTTGGATTGAACATTTTTGTGCTCAACTTCTTTTCCTTTCCAGTTTGATTCGCTGAGGCTGTTTCAGGTTATGGACTCTAAAAGAGAGGCCTTAAGCTCCCCAGAAAGAATCCTTTTAAAGAGTTGTTTAGCCCCCAAATATTTGGGGATGTGTTTTGCACGGGTGCTTTTTTAAAGCTCTTCCCCACCTACTCCAGACTTCTGTCATGTGCATGGCCTGACTAATAACAGTATTGATCCAGGCTGTAGCTACACGTCTAGACATACCACACAGCTGTTCTCTGTGCTCGGGTTAAAAACCGAGGGAGGAGCAGAGGAGAAACTAGGATGATGGCAGCACCCGAAATATTCAAACAGAATATACGTGATTCAAGGGAGAAGAGGCTCTGCAACACTCATTTATTACCTCTGATCTTCAAATAGCCTTTATGTATTTTGTCCTGGATGCAGTGGTTATAGGCCTAGAATAGAGACACTGTGCTTGATTTCATTTATAATACCCTCCATGTCTCTGTATTTTAACAGGGCAGTCCTGTACTGTATCGAAATGTTAATTCTTTAAGGGAGCGAATGTCTGCCTTCCAGTCCGCTTTTCACTGCATAAAGGAGAATGAAAACATGATTGACCGTCCTGAATTCTCAGAGGCAGAAGGAGAGTTCAAGACCACAGGCTCAAGTGAGTAGAAAGAATTTAGTCCGTTTGGACTTCAGGATTTATTCAGACAAGCATGTGAGGTATGAAAAAGATTTAGTTTTACAGTGTGAAGGCAGTCTTTTCTAAGCAGAGCTGTATTTTTAAATGGAGGCTAACATTTCAAATTTGGGAAATTTCACACAAAAATTTAGATTTCTGGTTTGTCTTGAAAAAACCTGATTTTTCAGGCATTCCTGAGCCTACACTTCCGCATGGCCACAATTGAGTTTTAAATGTTAACGCGTCAGAACCGGTTGGTTGGTTTCGTTGTTAGAATAAGGGCATGTGACAAATTTGAGCATTTAAACCTTGATTTTTAGAGGTTGCTTATTAAGCTTGGCAAGCATTTCTATGAATAACAAACACCCAACCCTGATGTTATAAAAAGATATATCTAATCTGACATCTTAATAGCCTGTCCTCTTCTTTACCATAACTTTTAGATTGTAATTCATTTGGTTACTTTCTCCTGTCACTTCTGATTTTCCAATCACAAGGCATTTGAAACACCAGAATTAGACAAAATCTTGGCATTACCATAATCATCATAACCATTCCTCTGGTGTTTTGCACCCTGAGGTTCCAAATGATTTTGTTTTGGTTTCTTGAACCTGAATCTTCAAGTACATTTCAACACCTCCTTACATGCAGTGCACTGTTACTCAAAACAAGTCCCGTTCATCTACCTCTCCAGTGCGTGACCCACTCCGATGTACTCATTTGTGTTTGTAGTTTGTAACTTACCTATTCACTTCTGACCTGCATTTTAAAATATTTTACTAACATGATTGCTCTAGTTCTGCAGACAATTAAATTCACTTTTTGTAGCTGGGAAGAACTGAGGCACATTTTGGCTGTATGTTTCATAAAATCATACACAGTCAAAGCAGAACCCGTATTAGAACATAACCACATCCTTTAAAATGTTCAAAAGAGGGGCCCCTGGGTGACTCAGTCGTTAAGCATCTGCCTTCGGTTTCAGGTCATGATCCCAGCGTCCTAGGATTGAGCCCCACATCGGGCTCCCTGCTGAGTGGGGATCCTGCTTCTCCCTCTCCCTCTGCCCCTCCACCTGCTCACATGAGCTCTTTCTCTCAAATAAATAAATCTTAAAAAAAAAAAAAAAAAGTTCAAAAGAAAAGGTTTCATTGTAAATTTTAAAATAGAGTGAGATGATATATCAGAAATGGAAATGCATATTAGCATATCTTTGTACATTTTTAAAGTCTAGAAAAAAATTTTAATAATGTTTATTATCCTTTTAGTAGTGATGTTCTCTTACCTTTCAGTTAGATTTCTTCTAAATAGAAAAATGTACTTTTAATTGATAAAGTATTTAGATTCAAGCATTACATTTTAGTGAAATTATTATGTGCAAAATTTAAAAGTGATATAGTAAAAGAAAGTATTTTTGCCTGTGTTATGTTTATACATATAGTCAAAAAAGAAAGTCTTGGTGAATGTCAAGAGTCTGAGTTCCCTGCGAACTTATCATCCAAACGTCGAAGGATATCCTACCAGAGCGACTTTGATGAAAATCTAACTGATGCAGTTCAGATATTCAGTGGTGTCACTTCTCCTAATACAGGCAAAATGTGTGCTGTTGAAACTGCTCCTGCAGGTTTTTCTGAGGTAACTCACTGACCAGAATCCTAGGAAAATGAAGCTTTGGTTTTCTGGCTAGACCGTTTTAAGACTGTCAGAACCCTTTTTCAGCAATGGTACCTTGTATTTTTATATTGTAGCTGAGTTTTAAAGTATGCTGTGTGTGTATGTATGTCCTACTTGTTAAGTTTTTTTTACTGGTGGTTAGCTTATTGGTTAGACAGTTTTGATTAATATGTTGCTTTTGGTTATGAAAAACACTTAATGAAAATATTAAGCCTTGTGGTCTTATGCTTGCAAGGTATTGTTCTAGATACTGATGGTACAACTGTGGGGGAATCATGGTCCTGCCCTTGAGCAGCTTTTAGTCCGCTGGAGGAGGCAGACACAGGAGCTTATTATTTACACAACTGGCAAATCAGTTGAAGATTCTGTATGGGCTGTGCAGCTCATGTCTGGGGGGTCTTGCACTTCCGGACTTTCTGCCCCTAACTGGTTTAAAACTGGTGCTATTTAGCAATTTCTCCTTTGCTCTGCTCACTTCTTTCAAGTAGGTGTAGGGATTTTTGTTGTTTATAACTACCTAAAGCCTGTTAAGATTATCAAAAGATCTTAAGCAATGTGAATTAAATACTACTATTGAGGATCCTTGACCTTCAGTCCCATGTAAACAGGAAGCTGGTTCTCTCATCACTGGCTTTCCTTGCTTTAGTTCTGGTGTGACACAGCTGGTTCCCATGTCTTTAGTGAGAGGAGACCCCTGACACCATTAGATCTGAAACTTTTTTTCTGTAACTTCTCTGTCACAAAGATTCAGTAAATATCCTATTGATCTTATTTGGACTGGCATAATAAATGTTTGATAGTAAGATTCTTCGGGGTTCAGTAAGTTTTGTTTGTAGCTTAGAGTCACTTATAATCTCTGCTCCCTCTGCTTTTTTCTAGTTGATATGAAATCATCATCCGGCAAAACCAATAGTTTCTCATCAGAACTTTGATTATTTGGACATACACCATGATTTAGAAATGGTGTCCACATTAATAAGAATGTGTTTTCTATCCTAGCCATTAATGATTTTCCTATCCTAGCTATTGATACCTTTTTTAATAATTGCATAACATTTTTTGTTATTTTTTTTAAGATTTATTTCTTTTAGAGAAAGGGTGTGGGAGAGAGCACGAGTGGGAGGGGTAGAAGCAGAGGGAGAGAGAATCTCAAGCAGACTCCACACTGAGCATGGAGCCCGGCATGGGGCTCGATCTCACAACTCTGAGATCATGACCTGAGCCGAAACCAAGAGTTGGATGCTTAACCCACTGTGCCACCCAGACACCCCCATTTTTCATTATTTTTGAGAATTTCCCCCTTTAAAATTAATCAATATAGTTTTCTAGACTTCAAACAATGAGGCAACAAAAACAAAATGTTTGAAAACAAAAATGTTTCATGCATTTCCTGTTCTGATTTTTGTTCCTCTGTTTCCCTTCTCCTGTCTTTTTTGGGGTTTATTTGAAATACTCTTTTTGGAAATCCACTTATCCATTAACTTATCCTATAAACTTTTCCTAGGGAGCTGAAATTTGTTTCGTAGGATGTTTAGGCTGCAGTTACAGTGAGTACTCTGTTTTTAGTTCAATTCTTGTATGCTTTCCTAATGGTAAGAAATGATTGATTGGTTTAACATCAGAGCCGTAGATAATCTGTAATGCTTAAATCTTTACAAAGATCTCAGTACTCCTGTAAGTAATAAGACTTAATATTTCTTTAATTTTATCCCCCCCAAGAAATCTTTTGAATCTGGTTTAACACAGTCTGGATATTTAGTTGGAGAGTCTGTTTCACTTTCCGAGCTCACAGAGGCTTCAAGTGGTAAGTATTTAATCTTTCCTTAGTACCCAGTTCACCTGTTGAAACATATGTTCAACAGACATTTATGGTTGGTTTACCTATGTGCTAAACTTCGGGAAAACTGAAGCAGTGCCGGAGCTCTCAGTCTAGTAGAAATGTTTCCGAATTCTAGTTATAGGAGAGATGACTTTTTTTTTTCTTAAACTGCAACTGATAAGAGTGAGTGAAATATTTCCAAGTTGACAGAATCTGTTATAAAAAAACAGGATGAACATGTAACATGTATTCTGTAAGAGAAAACACTACATGTGTGTTGTTTTTGTTGTTGTTTTTTAAGTGTGTGGAAAGGGACCAGCATTCAAAACTTTCCCCAAATCAGTATGTTTGTATTGAGTGAAAGTCACCAGTAAGGTATTAGGTTTACTATCGACCTACCTGTGTCTTTATCTTTAAAGTAAAACTTAGAGACATATAGTTAGGTCTTGCTTTTTTATCCATTCTGAGAGCCTCTGCCTTTCCATGGGGGTATTTGGCCCACTAACCTTTCAAGTCATTATTGAGATGGTTTGATTTATAAATCTACCGTTTTTGGGGTGCCTAGGTGGTTCAGTCGTTAAGCGTCTGCCTTCGGGTCCTGGGATCGAGCCCCGCGTCGGGCTCCCTACTCCACGGGAAGCCTGCTTCTCCCTCTCCCGCTCCTCCTGCTTGTGTTCCCTCTCTCACTTTCAGTCTCTGTGTCAAATAAATAAATAAAATCTTTAAAAAAAAAAAGATCTATCATTTTTTCATGCATTTCCTGTTCTGATTTTTGTTCCTCTGTTTCCCTTCTCCTGTCTTTTTTGGGGGTTATTTGAAATACTCTTTTTGGAAATCCACTTATCTATTATCTTTTATTTATTTTTTAATATTTAAAATTTTTTAAAGTAAGCTCTAATCCTCACATGGGGCTCGAACTCATGTCCCCGAGATCAAAAGTTGCTGTAAGTAATCAAAAGTTGCTGGACTACTGACTGAGCCAACCAGACGCCCCTACACATAACCTTTTAAACTATACCTCATTGCATCTTTTTTGTTAAGGTTACCCTAGGGATTGCAAGATACATCCTTAACCTTTCAGTCCACTTAGAGTTGATATTGTACAACTTTATGTAAAAGTGTGATATAATGATTTATAAAAAAGTATATATTGGTTATCTAAATGAATATTGAATGAATAAATATTAATAATATTCAGATGACCAAATACACAGTTTTCCAATAGATCTGGTCTTCATCCACAGTTCCTGAAAATACTTTATAGCTATAAAGGTGACATGGGTGTCTTACTACTACTAATGAAGGTGACTTTTGGACCCCACCCGGGGGGGGGGGCTGGTTGCCAGGAGGACCAAACCATGTGATTGGAGGGTGGAACTTTAAGCCCCACCCCTGACTTCTGAGGAGGGTATTGGGGCTGGAGGTTGAATCAGCCAATGACGTTATCGGTCATGGCCATGGAATGAAGCCCCTATAAAAATTCAGAAACACAGGGTTCAGAGAGTGTCCTGGTTGGTGAACACATGGAAATGTGGGGAGAGTGTTACTTCTAGAGAGGTCATGAAAGCTCTGTACCTCTTCCGCAGACCTCTCCTTTGTTTTCATCCTCTGGCCGTTGATTCGTATCCTTTCTCATTTCCTTTAATAAACTCGTAAACACAGTGTTTTCCTGAGTTCTGTGAGCTGCTCTGGCAAATTAAAAAAAATTAAAAGAACCTCTTTTTTATTATTATGTTATGTTAATCACCATACATTACATCATTAGTTTTAGATGTAGTGTTCCATGATTCATTGTTTGCGTATAACACCCAGTGCTCCATGCAGAACGTGCCCTCTTTAAGACCCATCACCAGGCTAACCCATCCTCCCACCTCCCTCCCCTCTAGAACCCTCAGTTTGTTTTTCAGAGTCCATTGTCTAAGAGAACCTCTTGATTGATAGTCACTCAGTCAGAAGTTTAGGTAGCAATCTGGACTTGTGACTGGTATCTGAAGTCCAAGGAGGAGGTTGTTGGAACCTCCAGTCTGTAGCACGTCGGTCAGAGGCACAGGTGACAGCCTAGGACTTGGGACTGGCATCTTAAATGGGGGTTGGGGAAGTTCTTGTAGGACTGAGCCCTTAACCTGTGGAACCTGATGCTGTCTCTGGGTAGGGTCAGACTTGGGTTGAATTCTTGGATACCCTCCTGGTGTCTGAGAATTGCTTGGTGGCACTGTGTAGGAGAATCCCTTCCCCCAAGTTAGCATTGGGTCCTGGAACCCAAAAAGAGTTGGTGTTAGGGGAAATAGATCTAGACAGTTTGTAAAGTTTCTATTTCCTGTCCACCCACCCATGTCTTTTATGGTCTTTTACACTATAGATATCGTCTATATTACTTTTATATTCATTTTAAATCCCGCAGTGTTTTTGCTTTACACAGTATAAGTATGTTTCATGCAGTGTTTTTCTTTTATATCAACATACATACACATAAATAATTAGATATAATTCAAAATTGACCTGGGCCTCATGGATTTGTATTTGCTAAATCTGGCAGCCCTAGTCAGGAATGACTGAGATAAAGTTCCCTGGTGCCCCTTCGTCGTCCCTGGCTGCTTCTGTCACCGAGAGAACGAAAGATGTCTGAAGCAAATGGCCTGGGCCACTCACCACCACACGCTAATGCAGCTCCGAACAAGCGTGCCCCTCCCCCCTTTCCTCCTGTTATAGTAGATCCTCTGTCCTCTGATCCAAGGCCAACCCCTTCATGGTGGTCCCTTCCCTCTTTGAGGACCTTCTGCCTGAGGTGTCCCCTCTTTTCTGAGTTGTGCATTTCTCCCATTAACATACAATGTGCTTTATTATCTGCAGTCTTAAACTGGCCCTTGTCCCCGGATTTCCTTCCAGCCAAAACTCCATTTCCTTGCTTTCCTCTATGGCAGAGCTCCCTTTAAGCACAGGTTGCACTCGGTCTCCTCGCCTCCCATTCTTGCTTGCTGCAGCTCCAAACGGGCCTTGGTCACCGCTTCATTGCCATTCTGTTAGTCACTCCAACAGACCCTCTCCTCAGGGTCCCAGCGTGGCAGGCACAGCTGCCGGTGCACTCCTGGGAGAAACCATTTCTTCACTGGGCATCGGGACACCATTCTCTCTTGTTTTCCCTGTTTAATTCACCATTCCTTATTTGTCTGTTTTTTCTTATTCCTTCTCTTCCATCCTTTAACTGTTAAACATTTGAATGCCCCGGGTTTGGTGCTTGGACTTTTTCTCTCTGCACTCACTCCCTAGGTGATCATGGGCATTCCCACAGCATTCAGTACTGTCTGCATGCTGTTGGCTTCAAAATTTAAATACCTGTCCTTGGCCTCTTTCCTGAACTCTTAAGTGCCCAACTGCCTTTTCTGGTCTCCATAGGAATGTCTAATAAACATCTCAGACTTAACATACTCAAAAAGGTCTTGACTATTTTTCCTTCCCCAGTCTGCTCATCTCTTTTTTTTTGGTCTTTCATCTCAATTCACCCAATTGCTTGCATCAAAAACCTTGGAGTAACCTTGGCTCCCCCCTTTTAAAGGTTAAACTTGCAGGGGCGGACGGGTGGCTCAGTCGGTTAAATGTCTGGCTCTTGATTTCGGCTCAGGTTGTGATCTCACAGTCCTGGGATTGAGCCTGTGTTGGGCTCCACACTCAGCAGGGGGTCTGCTTGAGTTTCTCTCTCTCTCTCCCTCTCTCAAATAAATAAAGTTAAACTTCAGTCCCATTAACAAATGCTGTTGGTTTTATCTTGACGGTATATCAAATGTCTAACCACTTCCCACCTCCTAACTATTATCACTATGGCCCAGGCTCCCACCTTCTCTTGCCTGGGTTGTTTTGTGTTTCCTCTTATGTGCTTTCCCTGCTTCTATCCTTGCTGACCCCCCTCTTTAGAGTCTTCAACATGGTGTCCAGGGTGCTCCTTTTAAAATCCTAGCTACACTATGTCATTCCCCTTCTCAAAATCTTTCATTGACCTCCCACTGTACTTAGAATTGTACCCAGTCCACACCTGACCTAGTCCTTAGCCTTCTCTTGGAGCTTCTTAGCTCTCTTCTCCTTGCTCACACTGTTCCAGCCACACTGGCCTTGTTCTGCCTCTTGTGTCTGGTACATTACCATCTCAGATCTCTGCACTTGGCTTCATGCATGTAAGGTTCTTCCCTAGATATATGCATGGCTCACTTCCTCACTTCATTCAGATGCCTGCTTGATCCCTGAACATCTCAAAACAGCAACTCCCCCCTCCCTCTTTATCCGGCCATATCCCCTTAATTTTGACATTATTTCCTTTAAAGGCACATATTACTACTTATTACCTGTACATTTCTTTTACTTTTTATTTTGAGGTGACTGTAGAGTCACATGCAGCTGTACAAAAATCATATCTAAACGGTTTCAGTGTCCCGTCCCGCCAGGTTCCCCACGGGGTAACATCTTGGGTAGCGGTCATACAGTGTCACAAGCAGGAAATTGACACTGATACAGTCCACTGACTTTTTTTCAGATTTCACCCATTTTACGTCCATTCATTGTGTATATTTAGTTCCATGTAATTTTATCATGTGTAGACTCATGTGACCACACTGCAGACAAGATCGAGAACAGTTCCAGCACAGGGGTCCCTCACACTATGCTTCCCTTCAACAGCCATAGCTCCCTCTCTCCTTTTTCCCCCTCCCAGGTGCTCTATATTGTCTGTCTGTCTCCCAAAGTATCAGAGATTTTTGTGTTTTATTCATCGTTGTCTCTCTAGCACCTAGAAAAGAGTGCCTGTCACATCATAAGTGCCCAATACATATTTGTTAAATGTCGATCATAAGGAAGTTCTCTCTTGTGAGAAAAAATATGCAGGAGGAAGCCTTGCCTTGTTTGAGAGCACACACAGCATATACAATTTTGATTTAATCCTCTTTCTCCTCACCTCCCATCTTCTCCCTCCTACCACCCTTGCGTGCTGAAATGCCTCTGACCCCAGCAGTGAAATTGGTCCTCCTTCATTGCTCACCTCACGTTGGTTTTCTGGTGCCAGGCACAGGGGTCTCGAGGCCTGGGCACTTCCTTAGATTCATGGGAGCCAAAACTCCTTGCTTACCTTTACCCTCAGTAGTTAGATTTGAACTGAAAGCTATGGCCAGCGCCACTTCTCTTCTTTATATATCCAAATGAAATTCCAGATGTCATTCCCTAAGCTGGATATATGAAGGTAGGACTTCTTACAGTGTGTTATTCTCTTTGCAAATACATAATGTTTTTGGTGTAGAACAACCTGATTCAGATGTCTCTCTCTTGTTTACATGTTTCCTTTGAAGGAGTCAAGGTTGCTGAGTGTATAGAGGGCAAAAGAGCTTGGGATGCTGTTCCAATTGAGAACTTTACAGAAGTGAGCACAGACACCGTTCCCCAAGTCAGGTCCCTGGTCACTCCACAGTGTAAGAGGGACATTCCATCCTCTGAGACCTTTGTACTTCGTTCTGTGCTAAAGAAGCCCTCTGTTAAGCTGTTTCCAGAAGGCCTGCAGGTAAGTTTAGAGCTACTTTTTCTAAAGCAAATTGAATACTCATTTTGGCTTAAAGCGATTCTTGTGAATTGTTGTATGTCCTACTGGTTTCAAAGGAGATATCTTGCCCTAAATGTTTACCCCTCCTTTTCTTACTTAGAGCACTGTGCAGAGTTCCGTCCTTTCTTCCTTCCTTAGTATGGAATATAACTTGTAGAATTTAATATATGTAGACTGTATATTATAAGAGTTTCATAGTTATTAAAGTGTGTTAATTATTTCCACCTAAAATATTTGGTCTCAGAGATAGCTTTTTCACAGGCATGTATGTTTCTCTAAACTCAGTTCGTATGAGCTAAGAGTAGGTTGATGGGAACTAGCTGGCACTTATTGAGTATTTTTTTTTTATTATTTTTAATTTTTTTATGAGCGTGCGAGCACACGAGTTGTGGCAGGGAGGGTAGAGGGAGACGAGGAGAGAGAATCTTAAGCAGACTCCACACTCAGCACAGAGCCTGACGCGGGGCTCCATCTCATGACCCTGAGATCATGACCTGCGTCGGATGTTTAACGGACTGAGCCACCCATGCACCCCTTATTGAGTACTTTCTATGGACAGTTCTGGCATAGATCATGTACATGCAGCCTAGACTCCAAGGAGAATATTAGCCCCATTTTAAGTAAACTTAGGCTTGAGGTTGTTAAATGAACCCAGATAAATCTGATACTGAAATTCATGGCATGCTATAAGTGCTCTGAGAGGTTGAGAGGATGGGCTGTGGAGTCCCAAGTGCCTGGTTTCAGATCCTCTGAAGTTTAAGAGCTGTGCCAATTATGTACCCTTTTTGTACCCTGGTTTCCTTATCTCTGAAAGGACAATATTAGTGACTACCTTCGGGTAATTTGAGCATTAACTGGGATAATAATATGAAATTAGCACCAGTGCCTGGCAAATGAGAAGTAATTTTTTTTTCAATCCATAGGCATTTAAATATATAACCATGCCTACACATCTGTTTCTAAAGCCAAAATGAACTAGACCACCTTCTATTGACATGAATAGTTATGGTCAATGGTTATTTTAAATGTTTAACAGTTTTTCTGGTTAAAGAGCTGATGTGGGTCTCTATGCAGCACTGCTTATTCATATCTTGTATTCGTTTTATTTTTCTCAAACAGACTTCGCGTCTCTCCATGATCCATATAACCCTTACTGATTAATAGCATCACATAGCAAACATCAAGTCCTACCACTAAAATTATACAAAGATTTTTATAATCAACAATCTTTTTACTGAGCTCTCCAAAGTTTGTAGGTGTATACAGTTTGAGTTGTTGCTAAATTTTCGTGGTTGTTTTAATTGAAGATAGCCTAAAAGGTCTCAAGAATTTTGTTTTCTACGTTCACTTATTTCACAAATATTGGTATGGGCATTTTCCTTGTCAGGAAGATGAAATGGACTTGAGAGCTGCTCAAGGAGGTTTGTTCGGGGCAGGACAGTTGTTGAGAGAAGGTGCTGCTTCCTGGAATTGGGTGCACTGGCGAAAATGAATAGCTGTAGAGAGCAGGGGCTGGTCCGGGGTTTAGGAAGCAGGCGATGATTTGGAGGTGACTCATGGAGCCCACAGCCCTGGCTCCCGCCTGCGTCACTCCAGTGGCCCTGTGTGGAGTGGGGCCCTGTCTGGTGTTTCAGGACTTGCACTGTCCCTCCTCCCCAGCTTGCTGACTCTCTAAGCTTTTGGGGAAGTAGAGAGGGACAGACACTACATTCTTTCCTTGTTCCTAACCTAAGAATACAGTAATGTGGACAGGAGGTTTACACACTTAGAAAAGGTGTGATTTCCATATTTAAAAGACAAAACACCCCATCATGCCATTTACCTTTTTGTTTTCTTATTTCCGTGCAATTCTTATACCTGTAGATAGTCAGTTTTATCTGACGCCATCTGTGGTATGAACTAGCCACTCACATTTTCGTTATCTTCATTTGCCAGATTAAAAATGATGGAATGAGTTTAGCCCATATTATGGATTTCTGTTCTTTAATCTTGGCCTAAAATACTATTTACTAAAGTAATGTTTAGGGCATCCAGTATTTCTTTGTGGCTCATGTCATTAAGCCAGAACAATTATGAAAGTAAGGGTAATCTGCAACGCTACATAGTATCTATCCTTGGAAGACCGGAGTTCAGAGTGGCCTTTCTTAATGATTGTGCATATGCATTTATATGTGTAAGATTATTCACCGACGTTTATTTTGTTTAGGAACACTGTGACAATCTCTGTGATGATGGGACTCATCCAAGCTTAATCTCAAATCTTGCAAACTGTTGCAAAGAACAAAAAGCAGGTAAAAAGTTCACATTTATTTTGAAGCCTGAGGATTTCATTTTCTTGTGAAGTATCTGATCTAGTATGTGGTATTTTCAGTGATCTGCTAAATGCCTCGATGCTTCTCACATTACATGGGAATGAAGAACAGTTGGCTGGAATCTCTTTGGAGAGCCTCCCAATTGGTCTGTCCCTTTCATCTGCCCATTTGTGCTTAATGGCAATACTTGTAAAGGAAATTGATATTCCAATTTTGTAAACTTCTAAGACATTTATGCAAAATTTACTTTAAAATCTATTAACCATATTTTAGAACTACTGCTTAACCTTTTCCATTTTGCATTTCTTTTTTCTACAAACTGTATTTTCTATTATACAAATAAGAGCTAAATCTAATCATGTTAAAAGAGTCTAGGGTATGCATTTTTAGATAAGAAATAGGCTAATTTTTTTTATCTATCCATTTATTATCTATAGAAGGTCAAGAAAATTGTAAAGTGCCAGCTTTTCTAAATATCAGGAAGAGGAAGAGAGTTACTTTTGGAGAGGATCTAAGCCCTGAGGTGTTTGATGAGTCCTTGCCAGCAAATACTCCATTGCGTAAAGGAGGAACACCTGTCCGCAAAAAGGATTTAAGTAGTATCAGTCCCCTGCTACTTGAGCAATCACCAGTTCCTGTGCAGTTGCAGTTATCACAGCCAAATTTTGATGACAAAGGGGAGAATCTTGTAAGTGTGAAAAGTGGAACAAACTTGTTTCTATTTTCATCAGACCTCACCTGTTTTGTGTGAATAATAATTATGCTTCAAAATCATGAAATGGACTAAATGATGTGTCATGGTGTAAATTAATGCATTTTTCTAGGTAGGTTTTTTTTTCCCCCACCCTGTGTTGATCATGACAGGTGCACGGGGTATTAGCTGTGTTCTCATACTTGCATGACTCCTTGTACATAGCATATTTCATGGACCCTAAACACTGTTGACTGTAAGATGTACCATGGTTTTATGTATCACCAAGAAAAGAGGCTAGAACCAAGCTGTCACACATGATGAACTGTAGGATATACTCAGATTTCAGAGTTGTGAAGATGTGAGAGAGCAACAACCTTAGAACTGATACACTGTAAATACAAACTTTTTTCCTCTAAGATGAATTTCTGTAGGTAGAATTACTGGATGAAAAAATAGGATTTTTTTTTTTTTTTTTTTTTTTTTACCTTTTTGATACATATTGCTGAGTATCCAGAAAGTGTACTAACTTGGACTTAACAGCAGTATAAATGGTTTTAATTTACCACACTTGGTAAACCCTGCATATTAACTGTACTTTTTTTTTTTTTAATTTTTGCAAGATTTTATTAGAGAAGAAACTTTTTTAGTCCAGTATCAGTATAAACTAACATCTTTTGAATTATTGATTTCTTTAAAATATGTTTACAGTAGAACTTATATGTACTTATTGAACAGACCTAAATATATATTGACTATCATGCTTTTTTAGGACTTAAGAATACTAAATAGATAGGGGCGCCTGGGTGGCTCAGTCGGTTAAGCGACTGCCTTTGGCTCAGGTCATGATCCTGGAGTCCCGGGATCGAGTCCCGCATCGGGCTCCCTGCTCAGCGGGGAGTCTGCTTCTCCCTCTGACCCTCCTCCCTCTCGTGCTCTCTGTCTCTCATTCTCTCTCTCACAAATAAATAAATAAAAAAAAAATTAAAAAAAAAGAATACTAAATAGATAATCTTAGCCAAGTGTTTTGTTTTTGCCACAAATAGTATCAGTATGCTATTATATCTAAGTCATCTATTATCTTTAAATAAGTTAGAATTTTTTCCTGACAGTTTATTTCCAATGATGCTCCGTCTGTTAACACACAGTCTTTTAAATTGCGCATCTCTTCAACTGTACTTTTTAAAATAGCTTAATAGGAGAAAAAGATGACTTGAAAACTTTTAGTTTACTAATGTGGTTTGAACATTTTTCATGTGTTTATAAGCCATTTGAATTTCTTTAGAGAATTGTCTGTTAATCTTTACCCATTTTTATACTGGGACCGTCATTCATTCTCTCCCTTGCCTGTTATACTTTGAAATAAAAATATTCCACTTTCAGCCAAGGTGGAGTAACAGGGACCTAATTTACGTTTTCAAAAGAAACAAAAAAACAAAAACAAATGAGAAAATGTACACAACAATGGTTCTCAGACATAGAACATCAGGAAGCACAGGAGAGTAATCCCAAGAGAGGGGTAACAAATGAGGCAAGCTGTACAGGAGCCCCAACTTACTGCCTGGGCTGGACTTCCAGGCGACAGCACAGGAAGGGTCTACCTTGGTGGAGCCTGGCAGTCTCCATGAGTTGAGAAAATGGAGCTGGGGTCTGGGAAAGCAAAGGAGGCTAGAGCTCGTGGCAAAGGACCGGAGAGGAGAGAGCTGCCCAGAGAGCTCTGGAGATGTGCATAGGGTCTCACTTGAGCCTCAGCAGAGTACTGGTCAGTGTGTGCTTGTGAATAAACTGCCTGATGCCAGGGAAAGGACTACCCAAATAGAGCAGAGGGAACAATCCCTAGAGCTTACAGAGGGGCAAGAAGTGTCCCCAGCAACCTGAGTGATAGAAAAACCTTATAATTCAGAGGGCATCAGGTACTCAGGAGAGTATTGCCTCACTAGTAGAACAGAGTTAGACTAAAAGCCTAGCAGAGCTTAAAAGCAAGCTTTGAAAGGACACAGCTTTCTTCCAAGCGACTTTACTGCATTGTATAACCTAGCTCAAGAACAGCAAAACTGTCCAGTGTCAAATAGCATTAAATTCAAAATGTCTGACATTTCAATTAAAAACTAATAGATGTGTAAGAAAAGATGCCCCATAATGAGAAAAATCAGTCCCTAAAAGTAGACCCAGAAATTACACATATGGTAGAATTTGTAGATGAAGGCATTGAAAAAGTTACTTTAACTATCTTTCATATGTTCAAGAAAGTGGAGGAAAGATTGAACTTGTTAAGAACATGAAAGATACAGAAAAGATCCAGCTTGAACTCTGTACATTACAGTCACTGAAAATTATAATCTTTGGGAAGAAAAATATGTTGAATGAGATTAATAGCATATTAGAGATTGCAAAAGAAAAAATTAGCAAACTTAAAGACATAACAATAGAAATTATTCTCCATGAAAGAATAAAAATGAACAAAAATGAGCAATTGGTGAGCTTGTTACAAATTTAGGTGACATAATATGCATGTAATTAGAGTCCCCAAAGGAGAGGAGAGATCAGAAGGAACAGAAAAAATATTTGAAACATAATGGCTGAAAATTTTCCAATTTGATAAAATTATAAACTCAAATCTGAAGTTTAAATTCCTAGCACAAGAAACATGAAATAGTACGAAAAGACACATCATTGCTTAGAATCCATGATATATGGCCTGCGAGGACCTAGAGCAAAAGTACCTGTGACATAAAGAACAACAAACATGAGAGGCAGCAGAACTCTCATTAGAAACTACAAGCCAAAGGACAACGCAGCAGCATTTACTTGGAGCAAAAAACCAAAGCAGTAACAACAACAAAACTTGTCAAACTAGAATTCTATATCTAGTGAAACCACCTTTCAAAACAAAGGTGAAGGTCAGGCTTTTTCAGTCATCTGGAAGCTGAGCGGATTCATTACCATAGTGGATGAGCATTAGAAGAAATGCTGGAGGAAGTCCTTTAGTCAAAAAAAAAAAGGCTCCCAATGGAAATCTAACAAAGGAATGAAGAGCACTGAAGCTGCTAACCCATGTGGGCAAGTGTAACAGATTTTATTATTATTAATCTCTATAACAGATTCTTTAAAGCAAGGATAACAATAGCATATTGTTTGGTTTATAACATGTCAGTAAGATACATAACAAAAGTAATATGGCATAGAGGCTGAGAGGGGTTCTTAGGCTGTACACAAAATAGTGAGTTAAACACGTGTGCTGTAAACCTTAAATGCTACAGAACGACAGCAAAAATGTGTGGGATGCACGAAAGCAGGCTTAGAGGGAAATAATTAAAGCCTGTATTTCAGCATAAGAGACATCTCAAATTAATGATCCCAACTTCCATTTTAAGAAACTAATAAAAGGGGGCGCCTGGGTGGCTCAGTCGTTAAGCGTCTGCCTTTGGCTCAGGTCATGATCCTGGGGTCCTGGGATCGAGCCCCACATCGGGCTCCCTGCTTAGTGGGAAGCCTGCTTCTCCCTCTCCCACTCCCCCTGCTTGTGTTCCCTCTCTCACTGTCTCTTCCTGTCGAATAAATAAATAAAATCTTAAAAAAAAAGAAACCAATAAAAGCAAATTAAAGCCAAAGTAAACAGAAGGAATTAATAAAGATAAATGCAGAAATCAATGAAGTAAAAAACAAAAATAGAGAAAAATCATTGAAATAAAAAAGATACTTTAGAAAAATAAATGAGTAAACTTCTAATCAGACTATTCAGAGGAAAAAGGGAAATACTCAAATTACCAATATAAGGAATGAAATGTGACTTGACCACATATTCTAACAGGTTTTAGAAGGATAATACAGATAAAAAGATAATAAGAGTATTCTAAAAAACTTAATGCCAATAAATTCAACAACTTGAGTAACTAGACCCATTCCTTGAAAAACATGAACAACCAAATCACAGACTAGAAGATATAAATTACCTCATTAGGCCTATATCAACTGAAGAAATTTAAGTTGTAGGTAAAACCTTCCCACAAAGAAAACTGTATGTCCAGATGATTTTGCTAATGAATTCTACCAAAGACTTAAGGAAGACCTAATTTTATGTATACTCTTTCAAACAAATTGGGGAGATGAGAGTAATTCCCAGTTCATAAATGCCAGCATTAACCTGAGACCATAGTCAGACATTATAAGAAAACTATCACCTCATGAACATAATACATCATGACCAAGTGAGATTTAACCCAGAGTTGCCAAGTTGGTTTAATATCTGAAAAACGATCTATAATTCACCATGTTAACAAATTAAGAAAAACCATATGGTCATTTCTGATAAGAACTCTGAGCAAACTGGTAATTAAAGAAAATTTCTTCAAACTGACAAGTTTTATTTATGAAAAACCAACAGCTACCATCATACTGACAATTATGTGGGAAATAAAGATTTGACATCTGCATTTGTATTGCCATTTTCCCTGAAGTTCCCCTGAATAATACTCAAATGTTAGGTTGTGTTTATTAACGGAATGTTCCATTTACTATAGAATTAGGACATGTGATTTTAAGTAACCCAAAGAGTAAGTTATTAATAGATCATTATGGCTACTTCCATTTAATATTTTATTTGTTGGACTGTAGTTAGTAAACATAGTTTCATTAAAGATTGGTAAATATTATAAAGTATTTTTATATTCAGTATCTTTGTTTTGCTTTGACTTTTTTCCTTCATCTTTTATTGATTTCCCATCTCTATGCTTACTACAGTTCCACTTACAAAAAGAAATCCTTATTTTCTCTTTGGGTACATTACATGTCCACTGAATTTAAGGATGTCTAATTTCTACTCTTGTTTTTCTTTGTTTAGGAAAACATAGAACCTCTTCAGGTATCATTTGCAGTTCTGAGTCCTCTTAGTAAGTCTTCAATCTCTGAGACTCTTTCAGGTAGTAACTTTTATTTATCTTAAAACCAGATAAGTGTCATTTTCAATATGTGTATATATGAAACTAAACCTTAATTTCCTTTTAAAATTTTATTATAACAATGCATGCTTGGTTTAAAAAACCATATAGTATAGAAAAGCTTATAAGAAGTCTCTTGGGGCCCCTGGGTGGCTCAGTTGGTTAAGCATCTGACTCTTGATTTTGGCTCAGGTCATGATCTCAGGGTGGTGAGATTGAGCCCTGTGCAGGGCCCTGAACTCAGCAGGGAGTCGGAGCCTGCTTGAGATTCTCTCCTTCTGCCCTTCCCCCTGCTTGTGTGCTCTCTCTCCAAAATATATAAATCTTAAAAAAAAAAGGGGGGGTCTCTTGCCCATCCAGGTCTCACACCTTGTAATCACCCACAGTTAACTTCCGTAGATGGTAGCCCTGTTTTTCAAGTCCCTGCAGACAGTGGAGTTGCCCTCTCAACTCCTGTCAACAGTAGGCTCCTTGTAACAGTTGGCACAACTGAATGATGTGCACCACAAGGGTCATTTTTCAGGGTCCAGAATTGTTCACCAACATTAAGTTGGCCTGTTGGGCACTGGCACTTTTCAAGTCCTTGTCTCCTTTATGATATGACAAGGCAAGCCAGGACTTGGATGACAAATGTCATGGGAACCATTATTCATGTCTCTCCCTTGACAGAAATCCCTTAGTGGCTTCTCATTGGCTGGAAGACACAAACCAAATTCACTGCTACAGAATCCAAGACCTGGAGTGTGAAGTTAGAGCTAAACCTGGAAGCGTAGTCTGTCACGTTCCAAAGCCCCCATGGTCTTTTATGCATTATACTGCCTTTCATTTCTATCATTAAAAGTGATCAAATGAAAAAGTTACCTGAATTTTTTAAGTTAAAAAAATTATTTTCATGATCATCTTAATGCCCTTTATTGCAATTTCACTGTACAAGATGTAGCTTGGAATAAATGGACATGAGTGAAATATGGTATTTACTATAATGTGATTTCGTCTGTTATCTTAGGGTAATACGGTATGCATTCTCCTTGGAAAGTGGTGAAAGTTTCTGGGTATTCAGTAAACTTCTGTTTTTGAATCTCAAAATTTATTCTTGGTAGCTAAATTATTTATGTTTAGATATTATATTATGCTAAAAGCAGAGGTGCCTATCCAAAACAGTATCCAGTATATCTGAAAAATGATGGCTCTTACAACTTTTTGTTAGCTACCCTAATTTTGCTTGTGTCTTGTTCATCAGGAACTGATACATTTAGCTCTTCAAAAAACCATGAGAAAATAGCCTCCCATAAAGTTGGTAGAATAACACGGGCCTCTAACAGAAGAAGTGTAAGTGTTTGTATTTGGCACAATGTATTTGTTTTTAAATCTTGCTATAGATTTTTTCTGTTTTTATGACCACAGTATTATGGGTAAAATCTTGATTTGATTAATGTCACTGAGAGCTAACACCTTACCTATGTAGCATATAACCCATGGTAATGCTGTTTTTCTGATTTGATTTTAATTCTGTTAGAAGAAAAATACAATAAAACAAGTTGCTTTCAGTTTGTGTTAATGTAGAAGGTAATTTGTTTGGAACATTTATTTGGGATCTATGTGGCTTAATGGATTTTATTGAGGTACACAGTGGAGAAGAGTAGTGTGTAATTGGGGCACCTGGGTGGCTCAGTCGTTGGGCGTCTGCTTTCGGCTCAGGTCATGATCCCAGGGTCCTGGGATCGAGCCCCACATTGGGCTCCATGCTCAGCGGGAAGCCTGCTTCTCC